TTACATCGCATTCTTCCTGCACTCGCCCTTTCCCAGTAGCGAGTTCTTGCGTTGTCTGCCCCGGCGTAAGGAGATTCTTGAGGGTGTCCTCGGCTCCAACCTCATCGGATTCCAGTCGTACAGCTACTCGCGTCATTTCTCCAGCTGCTGCACACGCATTCTGGGGTTCCCATCCGACAACCTTGGAGTCGATGCCTACGGAGCTCGCGTCCATGTCGGCGTCTTTCCTATTGGCATTGCCGCTGCAAAGTGCGAGTCATATGCCTGGTCTGAAGCTGTCACCGAAAAGTATGACGCCCTCAAGAAGATGTATCATGGGAAAAAGATCATTGTTGGTCGTGACCGCCTCGATAGCGTCAGAGGCGTTGCACAGAAGCTCCAGGCGTTCGAGCGCTTCCTGGAAGTCTACCCCGAATGGCGCGAGAAGGTCGTCCTCATCCAAGTTACGTCACCAACCGGTCTTGAGTCTGAGAAGGAGGACAACGATAGCAAAAGCAAGATTGCGACCCGTGTCAATGAGCTCGTGATGAGGATCAATGGCATGTACGGAAGCTTGGGCTTCTCACCGGTTCAGCACTACCCGCAGTATCTCACTCCTGATGAGTACTTTGCGCTTCTTCGTGCAGGCGACATCGGTCTCATCACCTCGGTGCGTGATGGCATGAACACGACGAGTCTGGAATACGTCATTTGCCAGCGCGACAGCCATGGACCTTTGATTATTTCCGAGTTTAGCGGTACCGCTGGCAGCTTGAAGGACGCCATCCACATCAACCCATGGGATCTTACTGGTGTTGCCAGGGATATCAACAATGCCCTCATCATGTCGGCCGACAAGCGCATGGCGATGCAGCAGAGCCTCTACAACCACGTGACAACGCGCAACGTACAGAGCTGGACTGACAATCTTGTTGATAGACTTGTTCACGTCATGGCCCAGCGAGAAGAGCGTCGTCTCGACGCCTCTGCTTGACCGCACCTTGATGCTCAAGACTTATCGCGATGCCAAGAAGCGTCTCATCATGTTCGACTACGATGGAACCCTGACTCCCATCGTGCGCGAGCCGAGCGCCGCAATTCCCTCAGAGCGTGTGCTGCACACCCTGACGGCGCTGGCGGCCGACCCGAAGAACGCTGTCTGGATCATTTCGGGGCGCGACCAAGAATTCCTGTCGCAGCACCTGGGACACATCCATGGCCTCGGTTTCAGCGCCGAGCATGGCAGTTTCTTGAAGGACCCCGGCTCTGAGGACTGGATTAACCTTGCCGATGAATTTGACATGGGCTGGCAGACCGAGGTCATTGACGTGTTCCAGCGATACACCGACCGTGTGCCAGGTAAGCACAGCCTGCCGGAATACGATCGAGTTTCTCCGTTCTAACCCGCATAGGTGCCTTCATTGAACGCAAGCGATGTGCCGTGACATGGCACTATCGCCTTGCGGACCCTGAACAGGGTGTTCACATGGCCCGCGACTGCCAACACGAGCTCCAGACGACGGTGGCTAAGAAGTGGGAGGTCGAGGTCATGGTCGGTAAGGCCAACCTTGAGGTCCGCCCAACATTCATCAACAAGGGCGAGATTGCGAAACGCCTCGTACACACCTACAACGAGAAGAGCGCAGCCGAAGGACACGGTGGCAGGGTTGAATTCGTCTTCTGCTTGGGTGACGACTTTACCGACGAAGACATGTTCCGCTCGCTGAACGGCATGTCGGGCAACGAGGTCGAGAACGAACACGTTTTCACGGTGACCGTGGGGGCGAGCACCAAGGTGACCTTGGCGCGCTGGCACTTATTGGAACCTTCGGATGTCATTGAATGCACGGCGCTTCTTGCTGGCGTAGGTCCGAGTGGCGAAGCACACGAGCATTTCGGCCAGGTCAATCTTGCCACGCTGAGCGCAGTGGAGGGACAAATCCCTGAGAGTGCCAAGTGATCCTATCGCAAGGACTTTGGCGACGAGGCGACGAAGCATGAGGTATGCAGCATGGAGTACGGGGTTGGCCATGGTATGAAGCCCTGGCTCCGCATTGTTCTTGATTTCTTGACATTCGGGCAGATGGAAATGGGTAGCTACATCAGTGATGGATGGGTTAGACGGCTCCAAGCTGATGTAGAGGGAATCCCTCTGGCGACCTACTTGTAGATGATTGGTACCGCGCCGCTTGCGTGGTAGAAAGGCACTGCTTAATGTTGATAGAGGTGGAAAGAAATAGATGTCATTGTTCATTGTTCCCAGGTACTCGAAGGCGAAGCACAGGCAGCAGTATGCCCATCATGCTGTTGTTAACATGTAACAGAAATGTTCAGCAGCTATAGCAACGTTTTTACTTTTCTGTCAGACAAACGATGGACCATCAGCCCCCTGTCATGACGTTGGGCAAACCGCCCAATCCCTTGCACGGGCTTCGGGTTTTAGGCTGTTCTCTCAAAAGGTTGGCCGCCTTGGAATTGGTGATTGGAGGCGGACTTTAGAGTACTTCCTTGTCCGTGAGGCGTTCCCAGCTTCATCATTCTTAGGCGCTTGGCGTGCGCTCTGCCAGCAAAAGAAATGACACAGGCGGTATTTGATGGCGCTCATAGTGGTACGTCGGAGATGAGACCACCTCTTTACAAGTGTGTTTTCGGAGCCTCGCCGGTTCAGGGGGTGGCGTCATACCTGGGTTTGATGTGACCTACAGAAGTACTTTGGGATTTGAGAAGCCTCCAGCAGAGTGAGGCTGACCTAACCATACCAGACGTACACGATTCAATGCTATCGTGCGGAGAAGACTCAAGGCTTGACACCAAGGTGCAATGATATGATTGGGTATATTTTGATCATGGTCTGGCCGTATGCATCTTCTCATGTGGAAGAGCTCTGTTGTCCAACTGGCCGTGTCTCCTACTTATGCTTCTTAAATAGACTGAAGCCCAGGCCTTTCTTACCATGCTTGTCTGCAGATCTTCGTTCATGGTGACTACGTGATCGACCTTCTGGCCTCGTCTCCGTCTCTTCATACGATGGCATTTCCTCACCTTGCGTCTCATTTTCAAAAGGGCCATCATAGTTCTGTCCCGAAAGGTCGGGCGTCTCGACATTCACAAGCCTTGACCGTGCACGCCGCTCCCTCGGCATTGAAGGCCCAGCTTCTGTCTCTTCCGGCACTGTTGGCACGCGTTTCTTCTTGCGGTCGAATTCCTTCCGTCTCTCGCGTTCTGCCCTCTTCTCCCCCTTTCTCGCCTCCCTCTCGTCGTCCCTGGCTTTTTGCGCCCGCTCATCAGCTGCAAGACAAGTGTGTCAGCCCAGAGACAGCATCCAGGCTACAAATCTACCGATCTGGGTCGCCACGACTGTGAAGCACTGGGGGGTACTCACCCTCGTCCTTTTTCCTGCCATGTCCAAAATAAATACCTGCAGCATCGGATCTTCAGGGCATGGAAAGTTGGCCCCGAATACCAAATCAGTCTGCTCTGCTAGCTTATCTTCGAAGAATTGAAGCTTGTCTCTCAAAGATTCGAAACTTCCGTCGGTTCTCGCGGCTTTGTAATCAAAACTTCCCCAGCCCGACGCTCTCACCTTCACTTGCAGTGGCCGAGCGATGTCGTCGGAGTTGGGCTCGCCAGTGAAGGGCACAAATTCGTGACAATCGACGAGGGCGTTCCCCACGTGGGCACGAGGGCGTTGCTGAGAAGGGGGTCGCCATGGTAGTCGGGGTCAATGACGGCACGGGCTGTAACGTAGGGCTCCGGGGAGCCCAGACTGCTGGGCAGGAAAGACGACAAACTCGCTCGGGCAGCCCTTGGGCAGCGTTTTGGTGCCGCTGCGCGGCGCCTTGTGAGAGGATCGCTTGCTGGATTTCGATGCATGCCCACGTTGCGAATAGCCTGACTGGTGATTTGGGATTTAGCGGTGAACACAAACTGCGTGAAACGTGCGTCCGCCTCATCTCTTCGGACGACTCACACTGGGTTCTGGGACTTCCTCGCCGTCCACTGAGGGGTAGCTGCCGGGTCGCGCGTCGTACCAGGCTTGACTTTCGTCTTGTTCCGGCCCTGCGATGTGAAAGTCGCACTGGAGATTACATGGACACGCATCGATCGGGCACGAAGGACCGCACGTACATGATGACGGAGGTGTGTCTCGGGAGGCAATCAAAGAGTGGAATGGGACCTGAGGCGTGGCAGTCTGCCGAGGAATGGCTGCCGAAGTATACGACAGCCCTGCCGGAATTGTATCATTGTACCCTTCGTAGGGTGAGCTACTGAATCCATAGGTTGTGGTTTCGGGCGGGTATTCGTCAAAGCTCCGGGGTGCATTGTAGACATGGTCGACAATGGAGCCAAATTGAGAGGGGTGGCTAGTAGAGCGTCTCGGGACATAGCCTGCAGCCATCGACGACGGGAACGATGAGCCGTACCCCGAATCCTGTCCTGGGGATGACCCAGTGAGTGCGGTGGCGGCCCGTGAATGTGGGTTCGTGAATGGAGCAGGCGGGTCATAATTGTGTTGACGCGGTTCATAGGGCTCCCGCTGCCGAATAGTCAACGATCGGAGTGACTGAGCCGGTGGAATGCTGTTGATCTCATCTTCTCGTGTTTGGACAAAGTCTAGGCTATCTGTGTTTTGGGTTTGCTCCTGATCTTCTCCAATATCGTATGTCGACGAATAACGATGTCGAGATTCGTGGCGACGTTGACTTTGGCTATGGCTCATTGTCGCTGTTGAAGCCCCAGCACTACGTTTACTCATCTTTCTGATAACGTCGGTGGTGCTGTCGACGTGGGCAGTTTCACGAAGCAAGCCTATCTACCCAACATGCGTTGTCGCCGTTTGCGTGGCAAGCCAGGAAGATAGCTGCTTACAGCTGCGGGATGGACTGTTTTGCGCAGTTGAAGGATCGTTAGGCGAGAACGAAACAGAAGACTACCATAGCACGCGCTGCGACCAGTGACAGGGCTGTCGGGCGAGTATAAGAAAACCACAAAGTCGGCGAGCGAGGCTGGCTCTCATGCCCAACAAGCCCATCGGGCACTTTCGACACCCTCCTCACTGATCGTGAATGCCTCTGCCCTCAAGCAAGTGGTAACCAAGCGCTGCGACTCGCTTAGCCCTGTTTATTTGTACTGGTTGTCGGCATCTTGTGACCTGGCACGCGCAAATAGAATTCGGAGCCCAGCCTGGTGTGATGAGGGACACCACATGTTTTGCCGTGCTGGGAAGGACGGAAGAAAAGGATGGCGCATGCACGGTGAGGACTAATTTACATGTGGTGAGGTGCAGACCACCATGCTGCAGGCAGCCTCCCTGCTGGCAGCCTCTCTGCTGGCGACCGTGAATTGTAGGAGGGTTACCTCAAACGGTGACCGAGAGAGCCCGAGAGAGGGTGTATATGTTAGGCTGAATCAGTGCGACATGCCACACCCCTTCCATGTTTTGGATGTCTGAGCCGACACCCCAACCTTGGCCATTGGCCACCAATCAGTACCATGCCTCATGTGATTAAGGATGACGGGGGAATCGCTGCCTCCCGGCTCTATGCAATAGTACTAGATCCCCGTCTGCCTCCGCAATTCCCCAATGTGCCGCGTCGCGACTTTTCGAAAGCAATACTCATTCAGTTCCTCCCTTGGCCAGCCTTCAATGGCTTGAAATGTCATGTCCCCCCATTCAACAGTCCCATTCCCTCCCGTCGACTTGGAATCTATGCAACAGGAGGATGAGAAGGTGAGAGGAAACAGAGATGGAAGGGCTGAGAGAGAGACGAGGGGCTATTCCCGCCTTGCGGCTGCCATGGGCCAGCAGCCGGACTTGGCCATCTTCATGCGCTTCATCGCGCTGTCGGCAGAGATTCTTCTACACCGCCAAGCAGAAATTGTAGCGCTAAGGGATGAGCTGTGGGAATGCCAGAAGAACGACAACTCTGCGGCCAAGGGAACCAACCGCTGCGAGTATGCGCATGATTCGGCCTTATTGCAAGCGTCAATCGATTCGAATGATCCGATAAAAGATGACCCTCGGCAGTGGGAGATATTATTGGAACTGAGAGCCAAATTGAAGGAATATCGTAAGTCAACCCCCAGACCCCGAGCATTAGTAGCCCCCCCCCTCCCCCCGGGGGGGGGGGGGCGCGGTGTTCGACATGGAGGTCCAATGGCTACCGCCTCGCCGGCACGCTCAACAAATACTAAGGATCAACAGAAGAGGCTTTGGTCGCCCACAGGCAGATGGTTGAATTTAGGCAGCCCCATCGTCGTCAAGTAGAGTCTCTCGTGGAATGGATGGACGATCACAAACGTGGAGATATATTTCTTCTCGGGATTGACAGCGATGCATGGAAAACAACAGAGTTGGCTGACCTCGTGAACATGGAACCCAGCTCGCCTGACGGTTTTACAAACCGGTGGTCGCTTGGCTTTCTTTACTACTACGACAAAGTCATCGGACATCGTATCCATGTAAGTGCCCGCCTCGGACTGATTCTGTGCGCTGGGATAACTTATGATGATTTAACATTTTCATTACCTACTAGGCTACTGACAAAGCTGAACATGCGCGGAACGCCATTGTATACCAGAATCAACGTATCATGGCTGTCGCACGAACCTTTAAGACTGTCGTGGCTTGCATGTTCCCGATAGTCGCAATTATCACTCTTTATTTTATCAAAACGTTGCCTGTGCGGTTGGGCGTCATCGGAGGCTTCACCCTGTTTTTCGCCCTGGTACTTGACAAGGCAACATCTGCAAGCGTGAAAGATATCTTCAGCGCCACGGCCGCGTGCGTATTCCCGCACAGGGTTCAGCCCTGTACCGGCCTCTCTCTGGGGACCATTTGCTGATGTGTTTTCGCTTTCATAGATTCTCTGCAGTTCTGGTAGTGTTCGTTGGAACAACAAGTTGAAAGGCCCTGGTGGTAAGAAATGCAATGTTGGCTAGGACTACGATGTTGGGTTTACACATGTTCTCGAAGCGCTTCCGGTGTTGCATCCTTTGCAAAGGAAGCTTTTCTGATAGAGCCCATGCACAAAAACCATAATGGCTCTCTGATGGTATTCCATCTTCATTTTAGGGTTCTTGCGAATATATCAATCCTCTGGCACATAAACGCTCAGAATCTGTGATCCTAGATATTCATGGCATGATGACTATCCTTGAGAATGGGAGGGAAGTTGTTTTGAAGAAGACTGGTTCTCCAGCGACAACACTTGTGCTATATCCAAGGTACCAAAATATGTACCAAACTAGGCATTCAAGGCAAGATCAGGTAATAGACGACGACTCCACTCGAGGTTCATTCGAGACGTGCCGCGGTTCCGGCCCGAACAACTGTTGCCGTGACCAAGCCGGCCCCACTCGGTGCCGAAACTCGACTCCACCAGAAAATAGTATCTTACCTCAAAGTACCCGGTTATTATCTCACCCTACCCAGTTGGCCATGTGCTCTGTTGCGTCGACAGAGTAAAAATGCAGATCTTCAACAAAAGCTTCTCATGTGGCCCTGGCATTATCAGTTCTCAATCGAGGATGGCTGTGACGCGCCACCAGATCCTTCATGCAGCACCGCCTCGCCAAACGGATCCCTGTTTGCAGCTGGCTGCCTCAACTTTCTTCCCTCCAAAAATATCGCCCCTTCAGGAGCCGCATCAACTCATAGAACGGAATTATCTTAAAAAGACGTTTTCCCCTCTCGATGAATCGAGTATTAGGCATCTCCCATCATCTTTCGCAGAGGACCAGCTTCACTTTCGGAGACTACATCGCTATGGGCCCTCTCTCCATTGCGGCGAGCGTCACTGGTGTCTTGGCATTTGCCGCATCTACAGCGCGCGGCTTGCACTCGCTGGTCATGGAGATACGGGATGCGCGCGAGGATATCTCAGCTGTCGGACGCGATGTGCAGTCTCTCGTAGCGGTCCTGGCGTCGGCGCAGGAGACGTGCACCAAGTACGATATTTGCCGCGAAGACAAAGCACTTGCCGTCGCGCTAGGAGACTACCTCGATATGTGCCAGGAAGCTATGCAGGGAATCCACATCTTGCTCAAGCCGCTGGCATCAACGGGCGGAGGAGGCAAAAGAAGTCCGCTGAGATTCGCACTTGGTTGGACAGTGCGGAAGAGTGAGATACGAGGTCTGAGAGCAAGACTAAACGAGGGCAAGGCAAGTTTGAATCTAACATTGTCGGCATTGAACGGGTAAGCCAGCCATCCTTACTCCACACACTACAGGTCACCTGTAGAGCCATGAAGCTTATACATGCGTCGACTAGCCTGCTGGAAGGCAAAGGTCAAGACGACATCAGGGCGGATATCAAGGACGCCTACGTCAAGATCATGAGTGAGTTCCGAAATTTCGAAGCTGGGAAAAGAGTCAAACGGCGGATCGAAAACGATGTCGCAAGCGCTTCAACAGAGCGCGGCCGTCGAGCGTCACTGTCTGAGGTCACCGACCCCGAATTCTCCATGAGGCGCTTTCTCCAGCCAGTAACGGATGACGGGCTCGTGGCACGCGGTATCAATGCCACGATGGGCGAGAGCCACAATACCGCAGATACGGCAGCGCTTTTGAGTCCTTGGGCTAGTGATCCCAACGCCATACTCGAGGCAGTCAGAGCTCGGAATCAGCACCTTATCGAGACACTTCTCAATCAAGGATTATCCCTATCGACAAGATCGGTACAGGGTTATACGGTCTTGCATTATTGCGCTATCGCCGACGACGCAGAGACTGCAAACTTGCTGATTGAGCATGGAGCCGATATCAACGCTAAGGACTACGAGCTGCGAAGTCCTTTTCGCCTGGCCTTAGCTTCAGAAGCTTTGAGCGTGGCGCGTCTTTTGTCTGAGAAGGGATGCATCATCGGAGACTCATCCACCGCGCTGCTGCGGCTTACAGGACGTTCTGAAGAGGTCCCCGGTGTTCGTCCGCTTCTACAGTCCCTGGCGAAGCGACTCATTGAAACTGGTCAAGGCCCTTTCTTACTACACCAGGCCATTTCCGACGTCGACAAATCTTCGATGAAAATACTTCTCGACGAGGGGTTCAGCATCAGCAAGCCTGATCATCGCGGTAAGCGTGGTTGGTCGCACTTTGGTAAAGAATGTCCGACTGACAGAGCAAGGAATCACACCCTTTTATCACGCCTTCAGATGCGATAGCCGACCTGCGATGCGCATCCTTGTAGAAAGAGGTGCTGATGTGAACCAAAGAATCACAAGGCACGTGATCGATGAAGCCGGATTGCCCGAGACTTGGCCAGACACGGATGTCTCCGACAATCTGTACGGAGCTACTGCAGTATTTCTTGCTGCGCGATACAAAAGAGACCCAGCAATGACAAGGTTTCTCATTGATCTTGGAGCCGATCCCGATGCCCCAATGTGGGATGGCATGGGTAAGTCCTCGTTTTATTCATGCCGTGCAGCGCCTAACCTTAAGCCAGATCATGTCCCTATGCTAGGTATATGCGCAAGAGATTTTACCGCACAAGCAAAGGTCATGGTCGAGGGCGGTTCGGACATCAACCGCCCAACACATGGCGGGCGTGGGGTTTTGTATTGGACCACGATTTGCGAAAACAATGATCTGATGAAGACCCTCATCGTCCACGGAGGGGATGTCAACTCGTCACATCCGGATGAAGGAACATTGCTCATGATTGCAGCGGCCAGGGGAAATCTAGAAATGACGAGAATGCTGGTAGAAGCAGGCGCGGACGTGTTCAAGCTGGATAAGGACGGCAAAACTGCCTTGCAGATTGCGTCTTCTCATGGAAAACAGGATGTTGTAAATGCACTTCAGGCGGTCATGTAGCGCCAGCAAAGTGTTTTGCGGAGTTCAATGGCGAAGGAGAGGTTTGCATGCCAGTAGATTTCCTCCATCGAGAAAGTTGGTCTGATAGAGCTTCAGAAATTCAGTTGAACTCCTGCTAGGAGCCGCCTTAGCGCAAAATCAATCCACCGGAAGCGGGAGCACTGTGATCTCTGGTGTTTCCCAAACGTCCCAATCATTAGAGTCTTGGCGCAGACCCAGAGGTCGAAGAGCGGCGAATCTCATCCTGCGATTTCAGTAGTGTCAGTTCCAGATGCGGTGGTATGTACGATGAAGAGACAGAATGTAACTTACTTGTAGATGCCTGGCTTGATATAAGTTCCATTTGCAAGCTTTCCAAGCCAGAAGAACCTGTGACGATCCAGCCCGAGGGACGTGCCACCAGATTGAATGCTCCGACTCAGAGCGCGGATTGGGAAAGCCACGGTGTCTTCTTTGTCATGGATGCTCGAGTCGAAGAATGTATATCTTAGAGAATCACGGAACGCCGTAGCAGCACCCACGTAGCCGTTCTCCCCGACAACTGGTGGGTATGACCATCTTGATTCCTCCCACCCAGACTCATAGATCTGCAAGCTTGTTAGATCTTTCTCGAGCAAACAAACACTCGAGGGTCGTATCATTTTCTTACATCCCAACGGAGTTCGTCACAGCCAAAACTGAAAGACGTAAAGACCTTCGGATAATCTTGGCTAGTAGGTTTGCCCGAGCTGAGGTCGAAGGTGAAACTTGTCCTCAAGGTCAGCGGCCCATAACTCGCGACGGGAAAAGACGATACCTACTTTCTCTTCTCGGGAAAGTTTCGCGAAGGAGACATGATATACGGCGTGTTGTCGATGAACATGTCCTTGTACTGGTCCTTCAAATTATACGCTGCGCCAAAGTAAGAGACAGAGAGAGTTTCCCCCAGAGAAGAAGTGATGAGGACTTTGCCGCTGTATAGAGGCTGTTTTGCTTCGTTCAGACCTCGGGGATAATCAAAAGAGAACCTTTCAGCTGTCAGCATTGATCTTTTTCGATCAGAATCGACCAAACAAAGCAAGAACTTACTCGGCCTTCCGCTTCTCGCCTGGCTTTAATTTGAAGCTGCCTGAAGGCAGTGTGATGTTGGGTATCATTCTCAGAGGTTTATAGTCTTTGAGCTTGGCCAGAGCACCGGAAGTGGTTGCGACCTCAACACCAGCGGCAGGCTGGAGCACGAATTCGTACTCGACGTCAACGTTGGCATTGTTGGCGATGACAGTACTATGTTGCCCATCAAAGTGTGCTGTGTCATTGAGTACCCACTTCGTTGTGCTGAGGGTGCTGGTGTAGTTGAGAACTTTCCAAGCGTCGACCAAGCCGCTGCCGGCCTGAATCGTCGGAGCCCAGAATCCCGTGTCCTGAAACGCCACGGCATCAACGGTAGACCAAGGCATCGAGTTACCGCTGGCAACGACTCGATTGTAGAAAGTCTTGCTCAAGCTGGGGCCGTGAACTTCGCGGCCGCCAAACTCCCTTATGAAGAGGGCCGCAATACCCGCCAAATAAGGACAGGCCATCGAAGTGCCACTAGCAACCCGCCAAGTGCCGTCGAGCCAGGTGCTCAGGATGTTGCCACCCGGGGCCGAGACTTCCGGCTTGAGGTCCATATCATTCAGGCCGCCCCATGAGGTGAACTCACTGGGCTTGTTACCCACACCATTGTGCATACCAACGTACCAATCGGCATCCTTGAATTTGGAAAAGTCCGCCGAAACTTGACCGCCAGCCTTGATGATCTCGACGATACCCTCACCAACGTTGGCATCAACAAGTGCCTTGGGCCCACTAAGCCAGGTCGATGGGTGGTCAGGACGGCTGTTGTCGTTGTAGAACATGATCCGGCTGACATTGAAAGCCCTGAGGTTGAATTCTTGGTCTAGATAGTCGCAGCCGCCGCGGCGGACCAAGGTGATGACGTTGGAGAGATCGGGCGTGTCGGCAGGAATCGAAGCTGGTGAGCACGCTTGACTGCTGGAGGTGTTGAGGTAAAGAGGATGAATAGGAGTGGCTTCGATGTCCCAGGCATTGATGCCGTTGTACCGATACGCAGACTGAACAGAGGTTGTTTCGCCATTGATCGTCTGCGTAAGTTGGAATGGCGTCGCTGCGTAGGTCCCGGCTTCTGCAGATGCCACAGCCAAAACTTCCTTTCCAGAAGACCCGCTGCTGGCGTAGAATGCGCCTTGTGCACCATCGTTGGCAGCTGCGATCGTAATGATGACGCCTTGTTGGGCGATTCGCGACGCGATGGTGGCCCAGGGGCCGTTCGACCAGCCTCCGGAAACACCAATACTACAGGTGATGACATCAGCCTGTCAAGCGGTCAGTTCGGAGGCGTTCAGACCTTCCTTGCCTGTCGTGACTTACGCCATCATCAAAAGCTTTGATGAATGCATCGATAATGTAGGTGTCATATGTGCCACTCTGCGGGTTGGAAGGATCAGTGACACTGAGCGTTACTGCGTATGAATGAATTTGGACATACCCCCATCGAGGAGAAAACTTTTGTATTGCGAGCAGATCAACGCCAGGTGCGACGCCTTGGAACCTGGGTATAGGGTCAGACATGACACAAAAGGACGGGTGCTGAGGACCATCAATTGCTGGGAAACTTACGAGTCTGTCTGAGCTGCATAATGCCAGCGACATGCGTACCATGGCCTCGACCATCTAGTGATCGCCGTCAGCACGCCATCCTCGATCGGCCAAGCTTGG